GTTTGTGCAGATGCATAGATTGGGGATTTGCTTGTACCTCCTACTGGATTGATACCTTGGTTCTTTAACTGAGGGAAATACTTATCTCTACTTTGTTGCATCATCCTTTCCTCTTCAAGGGAAAAACCAACGCAAGCTCAAGAAGTAGCAGTATGTTATATTGAATAATGATAACCATGAAACTTGTCATCATGATTTTAATTTTCAATCACATGATAGTTATTTTGTTGAGTTTGCTCCCACTACTATTTATGAGAACAAATTTGCTTATGTTGAGAGTAGTAAAATTCCCTCGGCCACACGTCTGTGTTCTTCTCCATTCAGTAAGTAAAGCTCCTTCTCCCTCCTTGCACAATATTTCTGTGTAAAAGTATATACTTATACAAGAACTAAAATACAGTAAGATCTATTTTCACACAACCGGGGTATCACTACTAAAAATAACCTGAACTATTTTGAAATTAACTAGATCAACTTTGTGTACTTTGAAACCTTTAGTAGAACTGTAGTTTGGAGTGAAGTGCACGGTAGGTCCTCAAACTATTTCAAGTGTGTCATATAGGTCCTAAAACTATAAAAATCATCATCCAGGTCCTCAAAGTACAACAAGTGTCATCCTAGGCAAAATATAGGTCCTCGGACTACTTTAGTGTTGGAACTGATTTTGGACCTGGATGACACACTCACTTTGAGGGCCTGAATGATGGTTTTCATAGTTCGAGGACCTAGGTGACACCCCTGAAATAGTTCGGGGACCTACAATGCACTTCACTCTGTAGTTTGCTTGTTGTAGATTATTTCCCCAAAATTGTAATATAAGCATTCCACTGTACATTGCTTCAGGAGAACTTTTTGTACTCTAAATCAGTGTGCTTGGGATTTGTATTGACACTTATGGTTTCAAAAAATATGAATAGTAAGCTGTTTATGTATCGACTCCCCTAATGATATTAGCACATGCTATTTGAATTTAACTATTGAAGGGCACATGAATCATACTAATGGGCATTTAGGATATGGGGATTCAAAGTTTACAGAAGTTAAGAAATTGCATGTTGGTTTCTTCTCTTTGTTGTTCTGAAATGGCCGCCCTTGTTGGATTGTTCTCTTTAAAAATCTAAAACAAAAATTTACAGTTAGCATAGGTGATGGACTATATTCTTAATTGGGGATCCAATATAAGGGACCTGGCAAAAACAAGAAAAAATTGCATTTTATTGGTTTTTCGGTACCCAGTTTGCATGCTTTTTGGCCTGTCGAGGGGGACTATTCAAATATACCGTCAGTTTCAAAAAATACGTATGTATACAGTAGCATCAACAATTATACATAAAGTGGACCTTTAAAGTTCAGGAATTTGCTTGATGTCATCTCACTTGGTAAATATGTAAACGGAACTACTGCAGAAACGATCTTTCTTTGCATGATGGCTCATCAGGTAGTTTGCTGCAGTTTGGTGCCGTGCATGGATTGTTTGATCTGCACGGTAGTACAAAAACCGGACATATATAATGTTGTATGCATAGCACTTTCTATAGCAGTACTCATATGTAAATATAGTTTAGTGTTCTCTGAAGCTATGTCACCCCAACTAAGTAGTTCAGCACCAATAACAGCAACAAGGTGGTCAGTCAGAAATACCTTCTCTGAAAGAGAAAGGTGTGGATGTGCGGAGTACAACTAGATGGTTAAACTTTTGAAATAAAATCACTCTTTGTTCTTATTAATACGTACTTATTTGGTATGGTCACTTATCCTAAACCATTTTTTAGCCTCCTTAATTTGCTACTTGGTACATGAACAGAGAAGCAAAGGAGAAACGGTAGAAACAGTTATAATTAATTAATACAAGTGGAGGTGTTTAAAGAAAAACAGGTTACCTTGCAAGGATGCAGACCAAGGCCTGTACTGTGATGTGGTAGCAAACCTTCAGGTTTTTCTTTTGAACTTAACCCTTTCAATTTGATTGAACTCAGAAACTGGAAACGCTCAGCCAAATAAATCCACCTTCTTCCACGCAAAACTAAAATAAAATAAATCTTCTTTCTGCCCAATTGTCAAAAAAAAACTTCCTTCTGCCCTTCCGAAGAAATTCTTCCTCCCGAGCGTGACGCCCCTACTGCCGCCGCGGCGTGCCCAGCCGGCCGAAGCCTCCGCTGCCCTGCCGCTGGTATAGGAGCCCAGCAGCGTCTCCCTCTGTCGAGCAGCCGCTCCCGCCCAGCAACGCCGCCGCCCGGAGCTACGCCAGCGACCAGTCCATAACCAGGTAGCCACCACTCCTTCGTCCTCCCTCTTCCATCACCCCCCTCTCTCCTTCCTCTTACATTCTCTGTTTGTTCAATTATTTTCCCTGGTTTTTCTATTTGATGAGTACTTGTTGTAGATTGGATGTCGTGACTCGTGAGAATATGATGATGACTAGTTCTTGCTGCATGATTTTTCCTGTGCATGTTCAAGTTTACATGTGAAAGGATTTTGCTTGATAGGTGTTTGTGATAATGATTGAGAGGCAAATGTTTTCAAACTATAGTTTTTTTAGATGAGCAAATGTTTTGGTTTAAACATGTTCGCAATGAAACATGGAATGACTGAAGATATATTAACGGAAAAGTATTAAGTTGTTTTATCTGCACTATCTTGACCTGAAACCAAAGGTTAGCAGTAACATGCAATTTGACAGAGCATGAGCTGTGTCTTGGTTATACTGGCCTAAATTGGTTAAACACATTAGTACTAGTGGTATTGTTGGCATGATAGATGTCCCAACTCCCAAATCTTGTTTATGATTGGGAATATAGCCGTACTGTTCTGCTGTGTTTTGATTTTTAATAGTAAGACTTAAAACTATTATCGTTTTAAAGTGATGTTTTGCCCTTTTGCATGTTAGCTGATTGATCTTCAGGTTCCACCTTTCGTGTTATGCCATGCTGCAAGCCTCTCTGTATTTTTGCTCAGATTGTGCTACTGTGCACACGAGAGAAATTGTTGGTTTCTTGTTTATTCATACAATATCTCCTGCAATTATGTGTTGCCTGTTACACAACTCAATCATTCTTTGGGTTTTCACCTAGTCAACCTCACTAGCAATGTTACACAAGGCTTCATTTTCTGGGCTTGAAGTTAAAATTAAGTTCTGTTTTAATACATATGCTAGGAAGGTATTGAATTGCATGTGTATGTACCTCCCGGTGCTACAAAAGGGGGTGTCACCAACACAAGCAGATCCCGTTCAAGAGGAGAACGAAGATATCTTGAACAATATTTGTAGTAGGATAGCCGATGTGTGTTTTGCGAGAGCAAGATAGGCCATCATCATGTGAACCATATGTGTTCTGTACGGCGCCTGCCTCTCCTTTGTACTGAATTTCTTCCCACTTTATCCGCTCTGCCCCTTCAATTTCCTTTGTAGTTCTCCCTGTGCACCCCTCAACCCACCCACTCTTTACAATCACAGGAGCACGGTGCCACGCCTGTGGACCCCTCTGTCCGCATCTTCTTCAGCTCTCTTGCAGCAGACATGCACGCCGCCAGGCTGCTCCATCTCAAATACTTGATTTGTAGATGGTGCTAGTTTATTTGGGTTTTGGTGGTACAATGCTAAAGACTAAGAGCTACTCCCTCCATCCTATAATACTTTAATTGGGATTATAAGATCTTATTACAAACAATGAACTCATATATTTGTTGTAATAACATCTTATATTATGGGACGGAGGGAGTAGTAGGTTAGTAGCCGGTGCCTGGTTTGTGTGTCATGTTTGGACTATGTCAGTGGTATCTTCCTGCCACTAGTTCCTGGTGTTTTCATTGAACCTTTTGAACTATGTTTCTGTATTTCTTTGATTATTAGGTAGTTTACTACCGGAGTTCTGGAAAGTTATTGTCAATGTGCTTTTTCTTTTTGAAATCTTATTGTCAATGTGCTTGACTGTGCACCAGAATTACTGTTGTTTTCCTATTTTGTTGCTATGTGCTTTGGTTGGATGTGTTGATCGGCTGGCCCGTGGGTGGTCGGTGCCTGTGATGACTGGCGTTGAAGATGTTCTGTGCCCGCTGCAGGTGTCGGGCATGGCGTCAGCTATAATGTAATGGCGGGCATGGGCATTGGTGACTAATCCCTGTGCTCAATTGCCAGCTGTATTAGCACAGTGCAGAAACTGCAAATGAGTTCTAGGTGGATTTGTTTGGTGAAATTGACTGCAGTGGGTTAATTCGGTCTTGCACTTAGTTTATTAGCCGGCTACCAGTCTCTCGTGTTATATTATCTTGGCTTGCTAATGAGTTCATATTCTTATCGCAATTTCGTCGTATCTTACCATCTCCTCTCGCCTCCTTCTGGGCTTCTGGTTCTTCGTTCATGTGACCAGGCGGCGCTGCCATGCACTTCAGCGCTGGCTATAAACCACCATTCCGCTTGAAAACCGCTGCAAGACTATGGGCTTCCATGTGAAATCCTCTGTCTTCTCTTCCTGCTAGAGTGAGGTTTTTTTTGGCTGAAAGCCCTTCTGTGAAAAAAAAATCCTTGTTCATTGGTAGGTCACTGTAGCAAAGATGTCCTCAATGGTGACAACAATGCGCATGACATCGACTTTGTTGGTGAGGCGGGTGGACTCTAGGGGGGTGGGTGGACATTTGTAGTAGGCGGAAGAGCGCCATGCTCTACATGTAATCTGTGACTTGTCCCTTCTTCCTAATTCTTTCTCTGTTATTGTAATGTGACAATAACAACCAAGGTGCACGTCCATATCTGTTGATCTGCTTCAGTAGATGTGAGCCCTCACTTTGCATTAACTAGTAAGTGTATCTTAAACTTTTACCATCAGGAGACACTGTTTCTGAAAACTGCAAGATAAACTGTTCATCTGATTAAATCATAAGCTAAGAGTGAATGTTCCATCAAACTACAGGTTACTTGCATGCACTTTAAACAAAATTCTTCAAAGTACAGAGAGAAGATATTCTAACTTTTTTGTGTGGGGAACCTAATTTTTGCAGGGGAGATGCTGAAATTTATGCGAATGTCAAGAAGCTCAAATGGAAGGCAAAAAAATCGTAAACGAGTGGTAAAAAAAGAGGTGTCCAGCATTTTAAGTGATCGGCGTAAAGCTGTGGTGGAGAACATCACTCAAGAACTTGCTACAAAGTTGTCCCCAAGCATTATCTCTCTTGCTTCATTTGATGGTGATTATACTATTGTATGCACAGTAGTTTCCCTGGTTCATATTTAATTATCGGTAGTCAATGACTGCAACAATGATCTTTTGTAGGAGACAAGATGCATTTTAGAAGCACGGGCATAGTTCTTGAAAACAGTTCATCTGGTGGTACATGTGTTCTAACATCGTCGGCTTTGGTTAGCACATCAGATAAGGAACGCATGCTTACCCCTACACTGAAGGTTTGTGTTGTCAATGTGTCTGCACTTGTTGCTCTTATTTAAGATACTGGTCAGCTAATCATCCTGTATATCTGTCATAACTTTACAGATAAAATTGCGCCTTCCCAATAACGAAGTTGTTGGTGGGTGGATAAAACATTATAGTTTGCCTTTCAGTATGGTTGTTATTGAAACTGGATTCTCCCCTGATCTTCGTGCAGCATGTCTCAGTAAAAGCGTGCAAGTCAAGCCCCATAGTCAGTTATTAGCTGTAAAGCATTGTTTCCACTCAGGCAAATTAATGGATACACGTGGGGAACCGATTGACGGTCCAAGTGAAGTTGACAGTGAAGGGTTTATGTTCTCCACATGCAAAATTACTACGGTGTGCTGTTTGTTTCTCCCCTTATTTTTCTAATCATTATGCACTTGTCTTTTTATGCATCAAATTTACTAATTTCCTATGTACACACTTCATCGTTGTGCTAGGATGGAAGTGGTGGTCCACTTGTTGATTTTGATGGGAACATTGTTGGGATGAATGACTATCATGATCAGAAAATTACTCGATATGTACCAACAAATAAAATTCTTGAATGTTTGAGGAATCTTGGGTTATGGTATGCCATTTATACTTGTAGCATTTAATCATACTTGTACTGTATGCATTATGATGAGTTCACTGCATTCTGCAGTGTGGATGAAATGGAAAACTTTTCCATTACCTTTAATCCCTTTTTAGTAGGTGAGATAAGAAAAATCACTCTTTAAGGCTGCTAAATTATGCACTCACAGACTATTCTTCGTCATTTTCTAATGTTACTTGTCAATTATGACATGTAGGTTTCTCATTTGGAGTGCGAGGTTAGTTTATGGCCTGCAAACTCATTGACATGCTATATGGAACTACCCCAACATAGAAATACTCAGTATTCTTCAGTTCTATCTCTTTTTCGTGATAGGTAGCTTGAATCAAACTGGCTCTAGTGGGAGAAGTGGTGACAAAAGGAAACGTAAATATTTTGCATCTTCTATCCCCAATCCACAAGGTGAATCAAGTCGTGATCGTTTATTTTTTATTTTGAAGTAATAGGCGGTGTTTCATCAAATGAGAACAGATAGTTCATTACAGATGATGTACTGAACAAGATCAGGGACCTCATTAAACCACACAGCACCATATACATGCTTTGCTGATCTAGCTAAAACATGGGCTGCCCATTACATTGTCTACTGATATGAATAAACGAAACAGAAGTAAAAAAAAAGAAGCTAACTCCTTGATATCATAAATTACAGCACCGGTCAAAGTCCTGTTACTAGCAGCATCATTCAGTTTGTGAATGAGAGGTAGGCAGTCTTGAGGAAAGAATAATCTTACTGTAACCATGACCAAGTGCGGAGATAACATGTCTGAAGTCGCTTATTACGTTAACTATGATGCACCTTATCATATTCCAAGTTAATTTGTTATCTTTACTGATACATAGTCATTAATTGCTTCATCTTGATGCACCAGAACTCATTGAGGATGGACCTCCACCAGAATTTACTGTTGATGAACATAAGCATCCAACTATTCATCCCTGGCCATCCAGTGGTATGCTTATAGTTTTTTTAATCATGATGGATATTCAGGGATTGATTCACCTTGTGCCTATCATTACTGATACATTATCATGAAAAATGCATAGTCATGGATTGCTCACCTTGTTGCACCAGCATTCATTTTTATCTTCCCTATCATTACTGATACATACCATGAAATGCTTCACCTTGTCACACTAGAGTTCACAAAGGTGGTAAATGATATCTTAAGATCTGATGGTTATCCCTTGCCAGCTTATGCTGACAGTGAGTTCTCTCTCTACTCTCTTGGTTGTGCTGACTGTTCCTGTTTGATCACACTTAAACTGCTTTATTCTGCCACTCATTTAACTGGCCTGCCATGTTTATTTAACCAGGAGGCATGCATTTGGAAGGTGATTTTGAAGAGGAATTTGGCATAGCCATGTGGAGTGAACCCACTAGAAAAGTTGCTTCAATGAAGTCTTGGAGTGTTGTCGCACTCGCTTCGTTCAATGGTGATTGTACTGTCATAAGTTTATTGTTTTCCATTTTTACCTTTTGCCTGATCACTAGCTAATGATTCAAATTATACTGTAGGCAAGGAAAGACATTTTGCTTGCACAGGTGTATCTATAGACTGCAATGAATCCACCTCAAGAATTCTGACTTCAGCAAGTTTGGTTAGAACTTCCGGTGATGAAAACAAGATTGTTGATAACTTAAGGGTTTGTACTAGACACTATTTACTCTTTGCTTGTTCATACAGATGTTGGTTAAGTCTCACTTCATCGTTGCAGATTGAAGTATGTCTTCCAATGGAACAACATATCATAGGGACATTACAACACTATGATCTAAGCTATAATGTTGCTGTTGTCGGCATCCCGAATTCTTGCAAAAATCATGCAGCACTATTCTTTGAAGAACCTCAAACTAAGGTAGTAGTAGCTCTTGGGCGTGCCTTTAAATCTGGAAATTTGATGGCCACAGATGGGTCAGTGATTGGCGAACGAGACAAATTTGATTGCAGAGAGCTTAAGTACTCCACTTGTAAAATTACCAAGGTATACACTGTTGATTTCTATTATATTATTGCATGATGAAAATAATGTGTTGCATCAGAATAAGGACCATCATTTGTGAATATCACTTTTTCTGTGTAACCATTGTTCAATGGCACTTTGTCTTTGTGCTATAGGCTCGAACTGGAGTCCCCATTTTTATTAGATTTGTAGGTTATTATGAATATCATCTTTTCTTGTGTAACCACTGTTCATTGTCACTCTATTTTTATGCTGTAGGCTGGAATTGGAGGTCCCCTCTTTGATTTGAATGGGAACTTTGTTGGCATGAACTTCTATGACTCGGACGGAACTCCTTACCTACCAAGTGACATAATTCAGAATCTATTGAGGAGTTTTTATGCAGAGCGGTATGTCTTCTATATATGTATAAATATATGTATGGTATGGAAGTGCTCCAGTGCTTTTCATTCACATAGGTATTGATGTGTTAGTCTTGTAGAAGTAGGTGATCAGTTTCATCGTTTCTAGTTGAATTTCGGACCGAACATTGTCGACTTGACAATGGGAGAGTTGGGGTCAGTTTGATTGCTGGTTTATCGTTGAACTTTTGGACATCATGCTTGAAAATATTACAACATTTATGCACCAGTAAAGAATCACTTGCTTACTAGTTAGTTTCTTACCTGAATATGCTAAAGCTCAAGCCAAACATAGCGCTTTGGTTCCAACTTCCAAGAGTCCAATTATGTGCTGTAGTTACTGAGGGTTAGGCACAGCTGCTTTTGGGGTGGCTCATTCATTTCTCTCCCACTCTCATATGTAACTTGCTAAGCCATTCTCTCTGTTTAGAACACCATGTTAGGCTATTGCAGTTCTTGGATGTTAAAACCCATCCTTTTGGTCTATTGTAGGACTGCTGCTGCTGGAATTACGGAGAAGCCTAATTATCGGTATTCTTCCTGACATGTCTCAAATAAGTTTTGCTATTCTTTCTGATATGTCTCAATTTTTTTTGCTTACTCTGTTGCACACAATTTCTTCAGTTTCTGACTTCTTTTAAAAACTTGTTCGATGACAGTTGGCCGGTCCCTAAGCCATATTGGTATTATCCGAGTCATCACCGGAAGCCTGAGCCAAAACACACATCATTTGATTAGTTTTGAAGCTAATGTTTTTTTCCAGATGGAAACGAATGTAACTTGTCTATGAATATATGATAATGGTGTTCAGTCAGAATTGTCGCTGAGGAAATGTGTTGTGCTTGTATTTATTTTAACCAACTTGTGCATAAGTAATATGGTTACTTACACTGTTGATGTTATAATGTTAATGCTTGGCTAGACACACGTTTTGGATGATTTAGTCTTGTGAGTTTTAAATAATTGTGCGGGACAAACAGGTGGTTGAACGGTGAATCTCCCTATGAGCTTGCGATTGCGCCGGTCCCTTTGTACCTTGAGGTCTCATGTTTTTTCTGTTGCCGAGGGACACCAAAGCTACAGCTGCACGAGGGTACGACGAAGTATGAAAATGAGTACACGTCTGTGCAGGTGCACCAAGTGCATTGAACTCTTGCATCGTGTCGGTCTTAAGGGCATCTCCAAGGGCCAAAAAAATCCACTATTCGTGCACTTTTTTTGAAGTAATGTTTTCTCCGGACATTGAAATAATTGAAAGAAAAACATTACAACGCAACAATAATTCAAATATAAATATTTCAATACAAGCATAAACATTCTGCATGCTCTAATTTTTTGAGGAAAACACACACAAATCCTCCACTAGATCATTTAATAATGGTTCATACCAGCCAAAAAAAATGTACGTGACATTTAAAAAATGTTCACAAGTTTCAAAATTATGCTTGTGGCATTTTTTTATTTTGTTAATATAATGTAGGAAAAAATGTTTCATACCATTCAAAAAAATGTTCAACGTGTATCTTAAAGTGTTTAACATTTTTTCTGAATCATTTATTTGAAAAACTATTCATCATGTATTTAAAAATGTTCAACACATATATAATAAATGTTAGATGTGTGTACGAAAGTAGATATGTATTTGAAAAAAACGTACAACAAGTGCTAAAAAGTAGATACGTATTTGAAAAAAATCCGATGAAGTAACACAAAATATATAAAAAAAGTGCATGAAAGGTTTTTAAACTGGTCCCACTAAGGTGACCGTGCAGTCCACGATAGAAGCGTCGAAGCTATATTTCTCAATACGATATCTCGCAGTGAGCGAGACATAGCTCCCGTGTGTTACCGGCAAACCCTAAACGGGGGTTCGAACTGGAGAATATGTCGGTCGACTTAGCACCGAACTACCAGTTGAACTACAGACCACTTCTGACTAAATGTTTATTTCGCTTCTTCTAGTCTTTCTCTAGGTCATGACAGCCCTTTGTGCCCTTATAATTATGTTTTTTTAAGAACCGATGACCTTTTTTTTTCTTAAAGAACGTTGAACTTATTCCAAAATCCATGAACTTTTTCCAAATTGATGAACTGTTTTCAAAATTGGCGAACTGTTTTAGAATTTTGTGAACTTTTCTTACAAAATCAGATGAACTTTTTAAAAAAATATTGATGAACATTTTTTCAAATTCAATGAACTTTTTTTCAAAGTTCATGATTATTTTTCAAATTTATGAACTTTTGTTCGAAATAGATGATTTTTTTTCAAATTGATGAATTTTTTTCAAGTCGATGAACATTTTTTCAAATTCAATGAATTTTTTCCAAATTTGTGAACTTTTCTACAAAACCGATGAACTTCTTTTCAGAATACATGAAACTTTTCCAGAATTTTGTGAACTTCTTTTTTCGAATTTCATGAACTTTCTCAAAATTTTGAACCATTTTTTCATACAGGTGAACCTTTTCCATAGCAACTCTGTGATTTTTCCCAATTTCACGTTTATTTTTTTTCAAATGATTTATATGTACCGTATATATGTCAATGTTTTGTACTAAAATGATTGTTAAATAGCACTGTTTTCGGGTTCTAATCAGCAAAGTATTCTTGGTCCATTGGTTGTTGTGTCAAGTCTTCAGTTGTCGGACCTGAGTTTGAATCTCAGGTAACCCAAACTTAACCCACTGTGAAAGTTTAGCTTTTTTTTTGTTCTTTATTAAGTAACTATGAAACTTTTCCACATGTTTTTATTTGGTTTTTCTTTTTCCCCTTTTTTCTTCAATGCGTGGATTCTTTTCAGACTAATGATTCTTCTTAAAAGTCGATGAACCTTTTTTCCAAACCTGTGAACTTTCATTCAAAGTCGTGAACATTTTTCCAATTTTGTCATTTTTTTTTCAAAATTAGTTTTCAGATTTGCATTTTTTTCATAAAATTGATGATTTCTTTTCAAATTTGATAAACTTTTTTCATATTAGATGAATGTTTTTTCAAATTCAATGACCTTATTTTTCAAATTTGATGAACTACTTTTCAAATTCGATGAACTTTTTTCCAATTGATGAACTATTTCTAAAATTTGATGAACTTTTTTTTAAATTTTGATCAACTTTTTTTCAAATAAATGAGTGTTTTCTTCAAATCGATGAACTTTTTTGAAATTTATGAACTTTTTTCGACATTTACGAAAAAAAATCAATTTGTGATTATTTTTTGAATAATTTGCACTGCTCAAATAGTTACCTTTGCCCTGGTAGTACAACCAAGTCAGCTCGGTCAAGTGGCCGTCGAGCCACTTTGGGTATGTTTGGTTGCCTGCATAGGCCTCGACCAGGCCCGCGCAGAAAGTATCACAAAATAGCCCGCATACACTATTGAGTCTGCATCGCATGTTTTTTAAAGTATCTCTGGGCCTGACTCGCTGGAAATGTTTAGATCAGCAGTTTTTCTCGAGCCAGGCCAAGCGGAAGCACAGCGAGCGGGCCCCTGCACGAGAAGAAACAGGAGGGATGTGAGGTGTTTACGTGGTGTCTTCTTCAACCTCCAGTAAGCTCCTCTCTAATCTCCTTTCTTTTATGTCCCTCTAATTTACACAACCATGCTTCGATTCGTGGTAAGCTCTACACGAAAAAGATGCACCTCGATGCTACGGTTTCATTTATGCGATCAGTTCGTAGTTTCGTCGGCTGTAAGTTCTTAATCCCGTCTCCCCGTTTGGAGTTATTCTGGACAAATTTTGTCAGATTCGTCGCGCACAATCGATCATTTGAAATTTCCTTTGACCACCAGCCTAATCTCGCAGTTCCTCACAACATTCGTGTTATAACCTTTTGGTTTTGATGATCGTAGCTTCATCTCTTTTTGAGCAGCAGTCTACTGCACTGACGCCGCCATGTCGAGCTCCTCTGTCCTTAGCTCAGAGCCCTCCTATTTGTTCCTCTCGACGCCGAAGCCCTTCCCCTTGATCTCATTGCCCACATCCTAATATGCTAGAGTTGTTTCCGGTGTTGCTCATCTCGGCCTATTCTCTGTCATCCTCCTACTTCACTGACGATGCAATAGCGCGCACACTGCTTCTTGTGTCCTCTACCTCCGTGCACACTGCAATTTGCCGCGCCGCCGACGGGGTCGATCATCTTGGCCTCCTCTCTTTCGCCCTACTACACTAGAGTCATTTTCTGGTGTTGATCATCTCGGCCTCCTCTCTTGTCCACTGCACTAACGATACCATGGCGAGGGCACTGCATTCTTCTCCTCTCTCGACTGTCTTTGCGCGAGCACCGCAAGTAGTTCGCTGACGGGGTCGCTCGCCATGCCGTCGACGGGGTCGCTCGTCCATGACTCCATGCTCGTCATGTCGGACACGACGCCACGACCACTATCCATCGCAGTCGCCATGATCCGGCGCACACTGCATTTCTTCTCTCACTTTCTCTGCTATCTCTTAACCCTGTGTGCTAAGTGCAAGTGCTGGCTCTTAATCATACCCCATGCGGGCAACCAAACAACGTGTAGTTGCATGCGCCGAGACAATGCAGGCAACCAAACAAACGTGCCAAAGTTGATCTCCTAATGCAGGCAGTCCATATGCAGGCAACCAAACAACTCGCATATGTCGCATATGAGGCTGTTTTTCTATAGCCGGACCGAGTGAAGATGTGTATGCAATACGGATACTGTAGGCGACGGCAACCAAACACGCCCTTTGTTTAGTCTGGCATACCTAGTTAGAATCCTACTTGAAACTAGAAAGAACGCCCGTGCGTTGCAACGGGGCCACATTAGGGTTAAGAGTTCAATATTAATCATGTTAATAATATATTTAATATTCTCATACATATCAAGTGACACTGGCGACCTTTTTTGTCAATTTAGTAACGACAGACAACTCGGTACTACTTAAACTACAACTATGGCTACCAATATTTTTTTGTCAATTTAGCTCAGCAATAGTGCCTGGCTTAATAGACTGCTTTGCATTCATCCCCTCAGAAGACAGAGAGCAAGCTAGCAAGCACGCACGCGTCCACCCCCGCCGTTGCATGCGCTGGCAGAAGGTGAGGCAGCAAGGGAGACTGCACATTGAAGCTGTCCATGCAAGGCTGGAGGTGCTGGGCCGGCGACAGCGGTGTCGGGACGGCGCTTGATTCGTTCCCGGTGGCGTGGAGCTTGGGGCGGCAACGCGGCGATAGCTAGTGCTCGGGGATGGGGGTTTGGGGCGGGGGCAGTCGACCCGATGGCTGGCGAAGTTAACGGGCTTGGGCGGCTGGAAATTCGGCGGGTGGCGGCGGCACAGCGCGAGGATGGGACAGGCGGAAAACCTATCGGGCGTTCAACTACCAATACCCACGCCTTTTTTTAGGGGAATTGCTTGTGAAAATAACGTGCGACGACGACTTAGCGAGCGGATCCCCTTAAAAAAGACATAGCGAGCAGATTCCCTTAAAACTGGTAGGAATGGATACGATTGATGACGTTGATAAATAGTGGTGAATGTTGACCTAATTTACTATCATCATGCATGGAAATGAATCATCAAGAAAAAGAATACTTCCTATTAATACACTCATAGGAAGCTTCTTAATCTCTGCTACCAAACAGTTTCTGCCCAAACAAGGAAGGAAAGTTATGGACGTGATTCGAAAGGAAACAAACGTTATGAAGATTAATTAATTTAGATTTGATCTTTAGAGATTGATTGTGATTGATTCTTTTACATAAAGACATTACTAAATAA